AATAAAGTTATTGTATTGTATTGTATTGTATGCTCTCTTAAAGGCCAATTTAGACGGCACAACTTTTACCTACCATTTGTACACGCGAGAGTTTTATAACGTGTTGTAGCCGTTATCTAGACGCGCACAACTTTCAACTTACGACACAAAAAAAGTTGCACGTAATTTGCTTGGTTTGTTGTTTAGGAGACTGGGGACGGCAACAAACAAGATGGCGGACAGAAAGCGTAGTACAGCGAACCAAATTATTTAAAAGAAAGAAACTGAAACCTCCAATTTGACCTAGCTAGAACTATAGCACGGGAATTTATGAGCAAAATAGCAACACCACACGTCTAAACATGAAAACTATAAGCATTCAAGTCACAAAATAGCACGATTAATCGACTTTACTCGCTGCATTGCTGCAGCTCTATGATCTTTGTTGAAATAAGACGAGTGCTTACAGTTGAATAAAACTTCCTCTTTTGCCCATCCGCTAACCAACCTTTCGATTTCAACGCTTGAAAATTTCTTTTCTTCGTCTTTGCATTGTTTTGTTTTCCTCGTTTTCGTAACATTTGGAAGTGCCATTTCTGGTTCCGGTTCCATATCGTCACCCTCTCCCCCTCAGTCTTGCTTTTTTCGTAAAAATTGCTCACAACTTTGAGGAAAATCTCAAAGTTGTGCAGCTTTTTTCGTGTTGCGTGCGACAGTTGTGAGCTGGTTGTACGGTTAATTTAGACGAAGCAATTCGAGATGTAGCTATGTCATCAGCGTACGCGCGTACAAGTTGTAGGCAAAAGTTGTGCCGTCTAGATTGGCCTTAATAAGCCCTTTGCAGCTCAAATCATGTGCCAATTAATTCACTGTGAGCAAATGAATGAACATTTTGATCAGTCCCCATGGGTGAAATTTAATGGGGAGCAAACACATACACGTTCTACAACCTTTTTCGAGAGACCTTAACTACATTTCGTAACACGCTGGTTACACGTTCTATTAAGTTGTTTAACTCAGGGACCTTATGGGATGCCTGTCGCTGTCACAGCAAAGACTGGAGCACCTGTCTATCCAGTTCCAATCCAGGCTGTGGGTGGACAATGGTATGTGATGCACAATCCACAGGGTGCAACGGCTGTGACACCTATACAATATGTCTAAAGAGGTGTTAGTACCAATTGTGACCATCAGTGAAGACCACAGAGATGCATTAAGTGAACCCCTCCTATTTATATAAAGAACCACAGATTCTTTAAACTGTGATTTCGAAACCATAGGCTAAAGGCTTTACTCCCAGTGCCACAGATTGCAATGACGTAAACTATGGCTTTGCTCGTACGTTATGTTTTGTGGCTTAGCTAGCGTCAATCCCGTCCGTCCGTACGTCTGTGTACACAACACAGGGATCCCGCTTGATGTCAAAGGAAAACTACTCGCAAATGCGGTTCTCAAATGCACAGAAAACATCGCTTCAGAAAAAAGGTCCAAAGACGGCAGTGCAAGAAATGACAATCATCCCGCTGAGTGTGAACTATATCAAATGCATCTCAAATCTTGCATTAATTGCCTTCAATGAAATATTTAAATATTTTAGTCATACTCAGAATGCACTTATAATAAGCACCACAAATGCTTCCCCCCCTATATATTACAATCGCAGTGTTTGTAGCCATAAGACCACGAGCCTCTCTAATAAGGGACAAAGCCGAGGTGCACTGGTTGCTAGAAAGCACCACAGTTTAGCCGATTTAATACGATAGAGGTGGGCTTACGATGACAAAATGTCTAGCTTTTCTTCGGTTGATTGCTATTGATAGTATTCCCTTTTATAGTAACGTTCAGGCGGTGACCACGAATAATAGTTCCAAGTCGAAGTTGGAGTTGCCGCGTATAATAAACTATTGTCTCGCTATGCGCGGAAACTCTGTACGAAACTGTAAAATGCAACCTCGTACCCAGAACCTGCCTTTCTTCTGGCCTGCGGCGAATAACGAGGGCTCTGACATAATCCATTTTTGGAGACCAGGACTTCTTGGACTTCCGGTATAAGAGTGCATGCGTTCAAAGACTTGCCAAAAATTTTTTAAAGATATGTTCCCAATTTCTAATTTTTATTTTGATGGTTAGTAAACACAGAACTCTGTTTCATTGATTATTATGATTCACTTCCGGAAAATTGCGCATGCGCCAAAAATGGAATATGCGCAGCCCTCGTTTTTTGCCGCAGGCCAGAAGAAACGCTCTAGGTGCGAGATTGGGCACAACATAGTTAATTATGGGTAAAATGCTAACCGAAAAATCTATTTAACAATCTGTAACAAAGCAAAATGACAAAGCCTATAGTTAAAATGGTTGGCATATTAGCATGACAATGGCAGAGTTTGTAGACATTACGTCCACCCAGAAAAGGCCTCTCACGTCCACCTCTTGGTATTTTAAAAGTATTTTTTATTGCTCAATAGATGACTAATCAGTGAGCTCGAAACTGGGTTCGTGTCAAGGTTCAAGGCAATCTCGTACCCAGAGCCTGCGTTTCTTTCGGCCTGCGGCATATAACGAGGGCTCTGGCATTATCCATTTTTGGCGCATGCGCAGTTTTCCGGAAGTGAAACATAATCAATGAAAATCATGCTTTCAAACCTGCTTTCAAACAGAGTTCTGTGTTGTACAATTTAATTTAAACGCGTCTGTGAGATTTGTTTGTTTACTGTTTTCTTTTGACTGTACTGCACACTTCAGCTACAATGTTCAATACAACAGCCTAAACTGAAACAAAAAATACATTACTGTACAAGCACTACACCATTTCTGTACTATACTGTACTGTGCTGTATAATTTCATTTAAAGAAATCTGTTAGTGTTTTCCTGAACAGAGTTCAAATTAAAAATACTGGGATTGAACCAAACTAATTGAACTAATTTTTTCAAATCCGGCTAAGATCGAGCGTAATCTATTTCATTATGGTGTAATAGCAAACTATACTGCAATGATCAGTGTGTCGTCTGTTGATACGCAAAAACTGACAATATAATCTATGACTGCTCCCGAGTCATTCAGGGTGTGAACCCAACCAGAACTGAGGCCAGGAGGCCCCGACAGGGACGACAAAGGCGAGAAAAAACAACAAAAAACAACTCCTTTATTCTTCCAAATGTCTTCTCGTCGAAACTCGCTCCTGGACTGAAGAGCACATGTTTCGACAGCCCATAATGACATACCAAAGGAAGCCCAAAACTACTGGGAAGCAGTTACATAATCCGTATTCAGCTCATTATGTCAATATACAAATACAGTAAATACGTCTTCAAATTTTAAGTGTCCTTAATGCGGGGTTGTTTATGCACAGGTAGCCCAAGCTTGGTATTTGTGGTGTCATGTTATAAGAAAATGTATGGGGATTCATCAAAAATGTCAATAAAATCATTGAAACGTGAAATTAAGCCTCGAAATTTTACCCCGCGATCATTGAGAAATAGCACTTCTTTCGCTCTGCGTGGTTATTTTTTGAAGGTCCTAGAAATGTGTTCTTTGTACTTATTAACGGCTTATAAAGCGGGTTAATTTCACAGAAAATGTATGGAGCTTTCGTTGGGACTTTGAAACGTGTCCTATATAACGAGGCGTCCTTATTACACGCAAGCGGGTGTCCTTAGGGCGGGGTTCCACTGTAATACGTATTTCCATTCTCGTACCCAGAGCTGCTCGGCTTGTTCCTACCCGTCGATAACGTGACTGTAGGGAAACGAACAAGAACACTTTAAAATCTTCGAAATCCTTGTATGGAGATTTGAAGAATGGCTTTTAACTTTAGATACACACGATATTCAGCCTTTTGCCATTTGATCCTCGGTGGATTGTGCATCATTTTTGGCATAGCTGATCGAGCCTCCATGTATGATCCAGATGCTTTTCAGACTGAAGGAGTGATTGCAATCTGGATGGGTGCTTGGGTAAGCAACGATCTCAAAACTTATGTTCGACTGACAATCGCAGGACCAGAGTTTTAAATTTCGTCTTCTGGACGCAATATACTTCCTTGAAATGCTGGATTAAAACAATTTGATACTCGATAATCGATAATCCTCCCTTTAGAACACCGTTCAAATCAATGGTTATGATGTTTAATACTTATATATATGCCTCAGTAGACCACAAAAGTATTATTATTTTTCTTGTGCTGGCAGCGAAATTTTGGATAACTAGCGGACTGATGCATTTTGATTGACTACAAGCCCTAATGAGCTGTGGAACGTTCACTATTAAAAACACTGTTGGGAAGTCTTGCCCACATTCCCCCACGTTATACTTCCTCATCATCGATTCAGGGCCGTACGGCCCTGCTCACGCCATTTTCCCGAAGGTTTTTCTAAGAGCGCGCGCCCGGGCAGATACGGGTCTTTTGATAAAACATGTTATTTTCGCGTGTGACGATATCAATTTTTCGAAATAGAAAAAATAGATATTTCATTGGTAATTATATAATAAATATGTTTATTGTATTTTCTGGCTTTGTCAAGATGGCGGCCAAGTCAAATTCCATGCTGTGGGGGTATTGAATAATGTCAAATTTCCTGTGGGTTGCCCACCCCTCCCCCCATCCTGGGGCAAACCAAGTAATAGTCATTATGCCAGCCTAGAGGTTTCAAAATGTTAAGGAATAGGAGAATAGTTATAATTCTTTTTGAAACATTGCTGTAAATTCCTGTTGTTGGCAAATGGTAGGTAGTATTGTAAGACTGTCAAGGTACAATATTCATGTAGTCCAAGAAATCGAACCTGATAACTATAAGTGAGAGGTGAATGCACTTCTGCTAAACCACCAAATTGCTATTCTAATAACTTTCAAATATATGAACAATAGTTTGATCCATGGCATGTTTCGGCATAGATCATACTTATGCCATCCCCAGACGAATGAAATCAAGGCTTGTTACTAATGCTATAAAAATTATAGAAATAAAATATTTTTTTACAGTTCTTCATGACCGGGATTCTTGGATGCTTTGCTACTCAACGCATTCCAAACAGTGCAAGACCCAATGCTCCCTTGGTAAGTAGAATTCCTTGTTATCAGATTGTGTGATTTTTTCCCCCTTTAACTAATGTGCACATTCCCAGTGTATTCCCAATGCAGGTCAATTTGAAGAACAACAAAAGAATTATTATTAGAATTTTTTTTTTACTATCTTGAGAAGCAAAACTAATCTTTTAGTGAGGACACTCAAATTGTGAAAAATTCAAAATTATTAGCCACTTTTTTGAAATAAATTATTATGAAAAATAAATATCAGATAATTGTTTTTATTTCTTAAGGTTGGCACCTACTTGGCATTCTCCATTGTGGGAACTGTGTTTGCTGGAACGATGATTATTTGCTATAGCATCGGAATTGCTATAATTGCGTCTTCTGGAAGAGCTAGCACAGAAACCTGCAATTCAGATGGTGAATGTACATGGACACCCTCTTCACCTAAATGCCCAAATAAATGCCGAGTAAGTGTTGGATTGGGTGCCATGATCATTATCTTTGCTGTTGTTGAATTTGGTGTTGGTATCTGGTCTTCCATCTGCTGTTGTATGGGTTACGAGTGCTGTTGCTGCGACACGTCTACTCCACAACAAATGGTAAGTTATACTAGAACATAATGCCTTTAATCCTCTCATCCCAGAATCTGAGATGGGGATTAGTTTGAGCAAGTTTTAATCAAAGAATGCTGTTTAGTTTGCTCACTGTTTTGGGGGCTGTAAATGGAAATATTCTCCAAATGTTTCCAGGTTAATTGACCTATAACATTATGACGTCACAGCTTGTTTACATGGGCAAGAATGATAGGAATTTAGGCAAAATTTTCTTTTGTTTGGGATATTTAGTACAACATTTATCTGTTATCACCTTTCCCCGTCTAATTAACCATTTTTTATTGTGATTTAATTCGTTTTGCTGCTATTTTGCCCCCTCTGGCGACCATGATCCCTAGCTTTAAAACAATAGATTGTTTTGATGTGACGTCAGAGTGTTATAGGCCAATTGCATGTTGTTTTTTTCAATATCAGTTATGTACCTTTTATACACGTAGTCTTTCTGTTTCTGTTCCTCAGCACCAGGGACAGATTGTCTACCTTCAAACTCAAGGAGGTCCTGTTGGTGCTTATGTCATGACTCAGGGACCTAATGGGATGCCTGTGGCTGTCCCAGCAATGACTGGAGGACCTGTCTATCCGGCACCAAACCAGGATGTGGATGGACAAGGGTATATGATGCAGACTCGTCCACAGGGTGCAATGGCTGTAACACCTACACACCAAGTAAGAACACATGTGAACTTAAATAGCTTTCAGCAGATCTTCTGGGAAGGGGTGTCTAAGGGAAGGTTGGCATATATCAGAGCAGGCCGGTCAGGGTAACTCTAAAGGCCTTATGTTAAAACCTGGCTTTTTCAACAAGCATTCTTTTAGTAGTTTTATTTTAGATATCTATGTTTTTACTTTTCAACAAACTTTTATAATGATTATTATTATACATAATAGCCAATTAATGTTGAAAATTATTCAATCATTGATTCATAATTTTATGTAAAACAATAAGTCTATCAAATATGATGTATTTATAATGTTGTTTGTAATTATTATTGTTTAAAGATTTTAATGTATACCACTTAACCACACTAAATATCTATATAGTTATATTTTTATATGTTTTATCAGATCTTCTTGTAAAGCGCCATTGAACCAAGGGGATATTAGCGCTATATAAATCATAATTCTACTTCATCATTGGTCATTGGTCGGTGGGAGTCACGTGAGAGAGCGCACGAACCCGGGAGAACAATTTGTGTGTGATCCTTGGGAGATCTACTGTGTTTGTTATTGATGTGTCGATTTATACCCAAAAAACACTCACGAAAGTGGGAGCTATCTTGACTGCCTCAGTCAGTAAGATAATGACAGCCRTTGCTGATCCCACCACGCTGAAGTTGGAGGAGTTGCTGACCTTAAACACTGATGCCATAGCACTCCTAGGCCATGATAATCTCAGTCTGTCTCAACATAGAAGGGACTTAATCAGACCCTGTTTAAACAAAAATTATAGCACCCTGTGTGCTCCCCACATCCCAATTACTGGGATGCTGTTTGGTGACGAACTGCAATCTCAACTGAGCAGCATCAAGGCCTCAAACCAAATAAGTAACCTGGCGGCTGGAGGCGGCTCAAACCGCCACCAAGATAAATCTGGCAATAACAATAGAGGCAAGAAGCCTTTTTTAGGCCAGAGGGGGAGAAGGAATCCCCACTTCAACAGCCAGAAGAAGCAGTGGGACAAAAAGACACCYTCTCAATGATTAACCTGACAACACAGGTAAATGAAAATAATTTTATGTCGCTTATGCCTGCTCTAAAAGATTATTTCACTGCAAAAGCAGACTGTTTTAAGGCTGGCAGGCTGGTATCCTACCTAGAAAATTGGAAGGAAATAACTTCAGACTCTGAAATATTGTCAATGGTCAGAGGCCAGCATATTGAATTTAATTCAATGCCCACCCAGGGAAAAACCCCGGGACAGTCTGTGAAAAATTCAGAGGTCAAAATCATAGACCTTGAAATATGTAAACTCATAAAAAAGGGTGTTATATTACCCACGGGGAATGAGAAGGGACAATATCTGTCACCTATATTCACCAGGCCGAAAAAAGATGGCTCTCACAGGTTAATCCTAAACCTGAAGCGGCTCAACATGCATGTTGAGTACAAGCATTTTAAAATGGACACCCTCAAATCAGCCATAAGTATGATGAGACCGAATTGTTATATGGCTTCGGTGGACTTAAAAGATGCATACTACTCAGTTAGTATAGCAGAAAGTGACCAAAAATACCTAAAGTTCNAATTTATTATTATTATTATTATTATTATTATGTCTTCATGCCTCTTGACCAACCCATGACATGAGTGTACTTCGAAATATATGTATATATATATATATTATCAACTTAATATACACTACATTATTATATGCTTACAAAGTTTGACTGGCATATTTTAAAAACATTTCCAAGAAACCAGGCTTCAAAGGAAAACTTGCCCCCAGATGTAGTTGCCCTTAACATGTTATTTCTCCTGCCCACTCTGCTATGTGCCAACCTTCCCTGAGACACCCCTTCCCCAAGAGATCAGGCCTTATGTCATCATGCCTCCTGATCAACCAGTAACTGGTCATTATGCCCCATCCCTATCTAGCCCCCAACCATTGTGCCCCCTCTCCATCTAGACCCCTATGTATGTGTTATATTATTAAATAAAATCAATAAGGTGAAGTATTAATGTAAATAAAGATCAACAAAATGCTTTGAAGTGAAGTCAAAGAATCGAAGCTGGGAACCGATGTAAAGACTTGGGCTCAACATGAGATGCATGGACTTTGAAATATATATTTTATCAAATAAATGTGCTACATATATATATGCTTACGCAGTTTGGCTGGCATATTTTAAAAACATTTCCAAGGAACCAAGCTTAATAGTTTGAAAAAAAAACTTGTCCCTACATGGAGTTGCCCTTAAATAATATTATGTTCCAAATACATGTTGCAACTGAAACATGTGTACTTATAAAAACTATACATATAGTCAAAAATAAACCCGATTAGAATAAGATCGATTTTAAATCTTACAAAGAAAATGGGGACTTCATGACCATCATTATGTCCTTTCCCATTCTTGGACCAACTATGATCCTTTAGAGGGTAATTTTTAATCCATGAATAATTTTAACAGTCTATTTCACATATAATTTTGAGCCTGGCTAATAATTAGTTACTGAGATCATTTAGATTAGCCTGTGTAACAGCCCTCTATGGGAAGGGTGCCCCTTTCCTTTCCTTTCCCCTCCTCATAGATCTCTACTATTCAGGCTAATTGTTAATTCAGGACTTATACCCCTTTAAACCAAGCATGTGAAAATAATCCTGGAATACCAGCCACGTAGCCCAAGGAACTACTGACCTTAATATACATGTACAGCTGTAGTTCTGTTACTATAATTTACTTAAATGACCTTCGATAAATAATCAAATATTTTACTTTGATTATTATAAGTAAAAGTATGACATGAGAGCAATTAGTTATTAAAGATCTTTGAGGTTTATTTTTTGTTATGAAGTACTAGTCTTGATGGCCATTAGCATAGGGGATTATGCACTGGATGGCAATTATTTAATTTTATATTTAATGAACTTCTCCCATGGCCATGTGCTATTAATTGTTAACTAATTGATCCATAATAACTATTATACTCCAGGTACAGGGTTTTCCTACCTCCATTGCCCAGCAACCAGTTGTGACAACTCAGCATGCATTTAATGCTCCTACCACTGGCTATAGAGTGTAAGTAAAAAATATTTTGAGTCAGTTATTCCAAAAGAAGAAAAAGTAATCATGATAATAATCTCATGGCCAGGGATGTACACCATAAGTGGCTAGTAAAATATCTTAAAAACTGTAGTGTTCATTAGTCAGTCAGTAACATTAATCTACTCTTCCATTACAATCAGCTAATTTCATTTAGTTATTCATTCAGCCATCCCAGTCCACCATTGAGATTAGCCAGCCATCCATCCATCCATCCCATCCATTCATAGGGTTGCATATTGCATTCATTGCCTGAAAATGTTTTTCTTTTGTAAAATTTCAGGTAACCAGCTTCAGTGTCTTGAATACTTTTGATAAAGAAAAAGACATACCTCAATGTTCAACAAATGGTTTTTGACTCGGTTTATAGCTTAGACTATCATGATAACATTAACCGAGAGTGGTAAACTCTTTGAAGTTAAATTTGTAGGAGTAATGTAATGTAATGTAATGTAATGTAATGTAATGTAATGTAATGTAATGTAATGTAATGTAATGTTCAGTTTAAATTATTTGGTTTTTTTTTCTTGATCAAGAAAGCAGTCAAACTGCAAACTTTTATTGTAAAGGGCAGACTTGTTATGATGATAATGATGATGATGTTAAATTAAGATAAAAATGTTGCTGATAAAATAATGAAAATTACCACGAAAGTGGTTCTTCTTTGTTAATTTTCATAACTTTTAAAATTTACATTCAATCTTGGAGGACCTCCCTGATTCAATACATTGATAGTCATATTAGAGGAACCAGAAGGATACATGCAGGTTAAACCATACATCTCCTAACAATATTCAAAGAAAATGTAGAATATGTGGTCTTTTGGGCCGTAATATTTGTAATGAATGGAATTTTTAAGGAATGTAACCAGATACGTTTATATTAATCGTCATTGGCGACTGCTTTTTTTTTGGGCGCGATGGTCACTCTACCTGTTTTGGTAGTAATACGTACTTTTTTTAAAAAGGTGACGTAATGAACCGCAAAAAAGGTCCGAAGATGGGCCGGTGCAAGGAACAATTTAACTATATCAAGTATATAATCTTGTGACTCAGTATTGTCTTATAATAAAAGAATATACTGCGTTTCTACGACGAAGCCCCGTACCACACACACTTCCCCCTCCCTCATATTACACATGCATTGTTTGTAGCCAGAAAACCACACGCCATCTTGGTTGATCTGTAATATAGTTACAGCCATTCTCAATCACACGCGCTCTCTAGCGATTGTTTCTGTCGCGACGAAGAAGGTTTTGTCGGAACACAGAACTATAAGAGCACTTGCCTATTTTAATAAAATGTCATGGAAACGCCTTGATAGACGTGCACCAAAAGCTTCCTCGTCGCGACAGAAACAATCACTGGCGGCGCGTGTGATTGAGAATGGCTGTAATGTCATTACGCAATAGCACTGTTTGTAAACACTACGTCCACCGCGTCCAACCCAAACAGAGCTCCACCTGCCGTCTACCTATTTTCATCGTTCAATTCTTGGTTTTCACTCACGTGACTAACTGCTTGACGACGGTTGCTATCCGCCATGTTGGTGTCGCATATATATAAACAAAGCGTATCGAAC